ATACAGAAACAGAAAAAGCAATAGAAAAAGTACTTGGGTTCACAACTTAATCACTGCCCTCAGCTTTTAGCTGCCTTTACATTCTATGAAGTAAACTGCTAAAACTAGGCTACTGACACATTTCAAAATGCATAGAAATTGTACAGCATTCATGACTATTTTTAATGAGACTCTCAGAATTAACCCTGTAGGTTCAAACCAATTACTGCAGAAGTCTATTTTGTAGTGCACTTTGTACTGCTATGTAGAAGTTATGAAAGAGAATTTAAAGCAAAGGCGATGCTCTATTTTTTACATGGATGTTGCAAGGCACTTGCAGCTTTCTCAGGGCAGCCAAGAGAGATGGTGTATCCCTTCCACTTCTGCACAAACTGGAAGCAAATAGTGGCATTGCATATCTTCCCAGTTTGCTTATTACCTCGGTGAACAAGACTCTTCTCTGCCTCTTGGGGACATGCCTCAAGAAAACATCCTCCAGCGTAAGGACAGCCCGCAGAGATGCACATGCAGTTACTAACCTACCCCTTCTTCACCCACCCACAGCTCACCACCAATACTCAAGCCCGCATTGGTACCGGAGCCCTATAGAAAAGAGAAATGAGGCAGGAAAACCACATGCCATCTCCCCAGCCTGGGAAGAGAAGATGACAGTAGGATTCCAAATGTGAGGGGGACAAATAACTTTTTATCACTGTTGGTGTGGAGACCACTATTGGGCCAACAGCATCTTGTATTATTTCTGTTCCTGTAGCACCTGATGTGCCCCAGCCCTTGTGGACAGGAGGCTTATTAGCTGCTAAGCACCTGAAAAACCTTTCAAGCGAAGCAAAAGAAGACAAGGCAGGAGATGTTTGCTGACTTTGTCAGTGCATCTTGGCAGAGGGCCCAGAGGCTTTCAAGGGAGTACCGAGACACAGAAAGGGACGTGCAGGAAAGGCTGCTGGCAATGATTCACAAGCAAGCAGCTCTTCTAGAGCATATTGTGGTTCTGGTTGTGAACAATGTCCCCCCACCTAGCTATGTCCTGCACCATGTGGGGAATACAGAATACTGGCAGCTGACTTTCAGCCCTCCAGATTACAGGGGGATCCCATTCTTAGTCACCAAATCAGATCCCATCCCACACCAGTCCATCCCCAGAAAAAGGAGAACGGTTTGGAGCCCTCCTTCCCACCAACACACCTATGTGAGCTCATCAGTCGAGCTATGGAAGCACTTCAATACTTTATGCTCAGCCACGGTTCCACTGGTTTTAAGTTTGTAATATTACGTTGAATCAATAAAAGTTTTTATTATGAAAAATTAGGCTGAGAAGTTTCATTGGAATTCACCCAATACATCAATTCCTAATAAAATGTTAAATGATAAAAGATGAAAACACCACATCACCTGTGTGTAAACGCATTTTACAAAGTGATCACTCTGTATCTAACCTCTCAGTGACTCAGCAAGAGCACCCACACTCGGCTTCCAGCTCCCCAGCCATTGCCTTTCTTCATGGGGACCCACATCTCTCTCCCTTCTGACCAGGGTATTCCCTGACTGCACAGCGCCTGGTCTTCACTTTGTATTTCCCAGCAGACAGTTTGCCAAGGATACCTGCCTGTTTTCTCTTCAGAGACTGATAAGAGTGATTGTCAACAGCTGTAAGTTACCAAACAGCACTTCCTATGCAAACCTACTTTATTCTTGAGGTAAAAAGCATTGCAGAAAAAACGTATTAAAAATAATAGAAGAACCTACATGTATGCCAATAAGCTTATCAGAATTAATCTCAACCCTAACAGTAAGCAGTGTTTTCTCCAGGCTACCTGTCAGTAGCTCAAAAATGGCGTGGCCTGCAAAAAAGAGATGATTTATAGGGATGACAGGAGGGGAATGATGGGAGTTTCATTTGACATCAAATCCCAGAATTCCAGTAGATTCCAGTAGGCATCCCACAATGGAGCAAAAAACAGCAACAACAGTGCCTTGTGACTATTTCAAAAAAATGCAGAGCTGCGTGGATGCAATGATTCTCAAGAGAAGTAGCTTAAACTAGAATAAACAAAGGGTGTGGATGTACTTTTTTGCTACTATTTCAAAAAAGCATATTTTAAAACAAGGTCATGTGTAAAGAAGGCTTAATAACATTAAGCAAGTGAGGCTGAATCAGTTAGAAGGAGAAGATAACACACAAGATCAGAAGATCAGTCCTGGTAGGGATGGAGAACAATTCATCTGTGGGAAAAATATTATGCACCAATTTATGATCATCATCTTAGCAGTCATTCAGTATTTTGAGATTTCCCAGTATTTTTAAAGCACTGTTTTTCATAAAGTGTGATTCTACTCTGAAGATGGTTCTACTCTGGCAGAGTGGGTTTACTGTCTGTCACCTATCCGATGAGTTTCACGTTCAGTTCACAAATAAAAGGATGGTGGGGATTTCCAACTGTGAGCCATGAAAACTAAGTTTGGGATCTGAGAATCAAACTGGGTTATTTCCTCCTTGTACCTCTTTTAAAACACAAGTGATTTCCCCAATATTAATTCCCTAGAGAAACAAGGATCGGGCATGCTCAGGGATCATAAAAGTTTTCATGAGTCCCTCTATGTGACACACAAAACCCTAAATAACTGTGAGATGTACAGTCTGACAAAAAGTTTCTATATGTGCTACTCTAATGTAGAAGGGCAGTGTCTCATTTCTAGTGTACCTACCAGAACCTCTCAGCTTCCTTCAGTCACTTGCATATTTAGGAAACAACTCCTGTGATTTACATTACTATATGTACATACCCAGCTAAATAAAGGACCAGAATGTTTCTGTGAGTACAGGAAAGCCTACAACCTCATATTCTAGCTTGGAGATGGGGAATTAAAAAGGGAAAGTGCCACCTCTGCTGTATGACTATCACAGAAATACTGTGATGGCTCTAGAGTTCTAGCCCCATGGCTTGACAGGTCTCCAGCAACTAGCACAGCTTCATGCTATTGAAACCCCTTTATGGGTTTCCAGGGCAGCTGGTTATTTGTAGGAGCTATGCTGTCTAGGAGGCAAGGAGGTAGGGTACACATAGTACTGGTGAAGGTACAGGGCCTCTATGCAACTAGCACTGGCCTCTGTTAGATCCCAGGGCTTTGACCACCTGGCTTCTTGACTCATAAGTACATTCCTGCCTCTTTCAGAAACATTTCAGTGAAACTTCATGAATACAAGTGCAGTTGCCCTGAATTGTGACAACTTGCTATTGCTACATTACAACTTTTTACATAATATGCTAAATATGCAAAGATCTGCACATATTCCTGTATTATACCAGGAAATGAAATAACTTTTAGACTATGTGGCTGCTGTGGTCTAACATGTTGCCTTATCACCATCCCTAGTGGTGTCTGACTGCTTACTGAGCTCCATAAGGACCCGGCAACTCAAAGTTGCCTCCCCCTCTTTATTGTGGTTATATATCAGCTGATGAGCTGCCTATGCTGCACTCTCTCCTGCATTCCATAATATGTTGGTTTATGCATATTTGTGATGAGTTTTAGCATTTTACAACTTGCGTAATTCAGTTAGCATTTTCAGTTCTTGAACACTGAAAGCACAGTATCCTGTTAGGTATTAATGTAATACAGTATATTATTGTTCTGTGTAAAGAACTAGCTGTGTTCCATATTCCTCCTTCTCGTGTACTGCTTGTGTTTGGATTAAATGTAATTTGAAAGCAAATAGAGGAAGTTGTGGTCTAGTGGGAGTCAAGAGACCCACATTCTGTTCCTAATTCTGCCACTAACTCTCTCAATGACTTCTGGTCCTGAGCGTGTGAAGTGCTGAATGCCAGCAGCAAAGTGGAGTTGAGTACTTAGTACTAGAGGTGAACTGGGAAACAAAATCTCCATACTATGAAAAATTTAAATTTTTTTGGAAATATTTACATCCCAAATCTGGGCAAACTGCCCACCCCTCCACTACCACTAGAAATTCTTCATGGAATTGAAATCCCACAGTATTTTGTTTCAGAAGCGCAGAACATCCCCACAACGGGACAATATGATGTTTCCGAAACAAAATAAATGCCCTCGGATTCCTGGCTGCCCGCCTGGCAGGCTGCAGTGGAAACAAAATGCCTGGGAAGCCTAGACTGGCTGCCAAGGAGTGGGAAAGCCATGGAACTGTAAATGATTTTCAGATGGAAAATCAAAAAATTTTGGTGGAAAATTTTGGTTCTGTGGAAAGTGAGTTTTTCAGTGGAAAATTCCTGACCAGTTCTATTCAGCACTTTTTAGGTTTGAGACTTTCATTTCTTTTTGGGCTTGTCAGTGCTAGGAAAAAGAGAGTGTGGTTATTTTTAGTTTGAAAGTGTCAGCAAATATGTTTTAGAATCCTAGTGAAGTCAGGGCAGCTTCTAGTTTTAACACATTGTTACTGGTCCATGTATTATCTGGTGGAGTTCATCTAAATCAGCTAACACTTGTTAAAACCACTTCTTATCCTGTCTAGGGTTTTAACATGTGTTAGCTAGCACGTTTTTGTTTGTTTAAAATCACACACATACTTTTCCCGAGTTTGGGTAAGCAGTATGTGTTACACATAAGGTAACGTAGGAATAATGATGTATGCCCACCTTTTTAAAGTGGTTTCAGACTTGTAGATGAAAATAAGATCTAAGTGTTATTTAAATTAAACATTTTCAAAAGTAAGAATAAGCTCCATCTTTAACATAGTACATTTGTCATCTTTATATAGTTATGGAAAATTAGAGTGGAAACCTTACTATATAAATCTAAAAAATCAAGGATTAAAGTTTGAAGTTTTTTCTTTATATGATTTTTTTTCTGTTTCTATCAATATATTCTTATATTTTGTTACATTATAAATTAAAAGTGAACAGAAGATTTAATAAATTATAATAAAGATTTAATAATAAATTTTAATAATAAAATTACACTATCTTGGTCTCTGTTGTAACAGGATGTCACAAGTATAATATTTTATTTCCTTTTTAAAAAATTTTTAGATATGGGAAAATTGTATCCACAAAGGCTATTTTGGATAAGACAACAAACAAATGCAAAGGTATGTTTGTCTTTAGATTATATTTGCCTACTTGTTTTCAAATGATTTTAAAATATTCTTAACGTGTGTGTGTGTGAGAGAGAGAGAGAGAGAGAGAGAGAGAGAGAGAGAGAATGTATGAAATACATTCTTATTCCAAACCAAAGTTTAGTCTTGCCCAATGTCTGTATATTTGTCCCCAGTACAATTGGCAAATAGTCCATGCCTAAGCAGTGTGCCAAAACTTCAGATGACTCCAGTTAAGTTAACAGGCACAGCACTGCTGGTATTTAGCCCCTGCTTTAAAAAAGTAGAATGGAGTTAGAAAACAGCTTTTTTTCCCCCCTTGCTCGGGGAGATTAGAGTGCCTTACAAAAGACCATTAGACTGTACTAAGTATCTGGAAACATTACACATTGTGCAAATTGGCTCTATTAATTAGAACAGAGTAGTTTTAAGCAGTACTTAATTACATGTTCCAATACCCTAATTGTGTTTTTGTTCTATGCCTGTTGAATATATTGGTGGGAGAGAAAGGGTTTGTTTTCATGAACATAATTATAGCTGGAAAAAATAATAAACTTCTTTCAGATACACTGGATATGTTAATTTAGTGCACTGTCCTTCAAAATTTCATATAATTATTATGAGAGCATACTCCAGCAACACAAGTGGTGTGTGGAGGTGTAGCAACAGACACTGACGTATCAGGTTTCAGACATTCTTTCTGACAATAATGAGAATAATTTCTAAGCAAAGGGAAGAATGGAGTCGGCTGACTTAGCAATGTTAACTACTGACCCCATGAATGAGTACAAAGCTGACAAGCAGGGGCAGGAAAGGAAAGCTCATCATTAATAGAGTTCCATCTTTTTGTGGGGAACTTAGAGGCAATGGTGCAGAATGGGTTCTAAACACAGGATCAATCAATCAAAGGAACACTGAATTCAAAATCTGTACTTATCTGAAAACTTTTTACCTCCAAGTTTTACATGTACACCTGCTATACTGTAACTGGGGAAAAAATAGAGAAAACTATTTTTCTACACTTTGAATTTATTAATGCGTTTGACAGTACTTAGTTTGTCTCACACCCACACCAATCCAGAAAAGACTTATGGAAGTCAACTGATGAGTACTGTTTATGGCTCGAATCCTGCAAAGACTTTTGCATGAAATTACTTATAATAATTTTTAAGTGACCAGATTTAAAGCTGATGGGTGTCCTTTTAATGGCAATATTCCTTCTGAGAAGTTATGTTTTGGCACATAATTTTCTCTATACAGAATCCATAAGGTACATTTAATTGTATTGTAAGCCTTATATGTTTAGTATTTGAAGCTAAATTTTCATTCTGATAACACCCTTACTCTTTCCAAAAGTGATGTGGGATTTTTAATGATTACAAGCAGCCAGTGGATTAGTTTTACATCTCATCTAAAATGTGGATTTCCAGCAGCACAGTGTGCTGTAATGACCTACTTCATGATTTGCTTCAATACTTAAGAGCGAATAGTGCCACTTTCTGAGACACAGGGCCATTTTCTGCTGCACTGGGATTTTATTTATTGTTCTCAAAGTAGACTTGAGTCAAAGATTGCTCTTGTTTTTACAGGGCTGTTTATTTTGAGTGGGATTTTGAAAAGCACCAAGGGGATTAAGTCACCTAACTCCTAGTGATTTTCAGTGGGACCTGAAGACAGACAGTGGCTAGTTTCATTAGGTAATGGCACTTAACACCTAGATAGCTTTGAAAACCCTAGCCTGTAAGGTTACTGCCTGATAAAAGGCGTCATTTGTTTGCCATCCAATTCCACTGGAGTCTATTGGTAGATTCCCTCTTAATAACCAACTGGTAACGTGTAAAAAATTCTTGTACTTCCCAGAATTATCATGGACAATTTTTAGAATTGAAAATGACTGTTATTTATTTAGTTTATTGTACTTAAAAATAAAAATAAAAAATCTGGTGTTGTCTATAGCATCTCTGTGTGTTGCTGCAATATAAAGCATTGTAGAAACACTTGGTGAAATCTTGGCCCCAATGAGGTCAATGCAGAGCTCCCATTGACTTCACTGGCGGACAGGATTTCACGTATCATATAATTAAACTAACCACTGTCTCTTGTGTACACATGATGGAATAACTATAGCTTACCAATTTTATCAGCACGCCATGGTTTAGGTGATTGGTAATAGGGTACTTTCATTTCTAGGTTGCTTGTTAAAATCTGGGCAAGGATTTTAGTGACCAAAAGTTAACATGAGATTGCTATTTAGTGGCCTATATGATCTCAGGTTAGTTCCTAATGGACTAATAACCAGATCACACAAAGTATTATAATAATTGTTGGAAGCTTTGGCATAAGCCACAAATGAATGGGCATGAAAACTGACTTGTCTTCTTACTGCGAGAAGTAGTTCCTCCAACTCGTGGTTGAAGGATATTGGTGGGACAGTGCTGGGCAACTTACCCGCCTGCTGTTCTGTTCTGTGACTAAATGAAGATCTTCAGCTTCCAAGGCTGTCAAATTGTCCCCTTCCACCAGCACAAATTTTGCTTTTAAAAAAAAAAATGCTTTTGCACTGTTTCATTATAAAATGGTTGTTTGCTTCTCAGTAAAAGATGTTTTAAATTTCAGGTTACGGTTTTGTAGATTTTGACAGCCCAGCAGCTGCTCAGAAGGCTGTTTCCGCTCTGAAGGCTAGCGGAGTCCAAGCACAGATGGCAAAGGTAAGTTTAAAAGTACTCTGCAAATTCTTGCAGTGTAACCTGAAAGTGAACAAACTTGTGCTTTTTTAGTTCATTGGCAACACACATTCAAAAGCTGAAGGCCCCCTATTGAGGATCCAGTGTCTCCAATCCCCACCATACTTCAGAGTTTAAAAATGGGGATAGTTAGCTGGAACTCAGCCTCAGAAAGGTGGGCTTCGCCCCTCCCCCCTCTCCGCCCCCCCACTGAACTGAATGGGATTTTTATTTTTTTTGCCACTGATTGCAGTAGGAGAAAGAGTAGGCCCTAAAATAACCACTATAAGACTTCACAGATTAAAGTCAACATCTCAAATTGTAGCTGGAAACAAATTAGTAGTTTCTGTAGTTTGTAGAACACAGCTATTATGTGCTGTGTATGTGGAGCACCACGGAGTAATCGGTCTGCCATATTCTTTACTAGCTGAATCTTTCAAGTGGTCATTATGGGGATCTTCAAATAGAGCACACTGGAGAAATCCACTCTATATAACTGTAGCTAAATCCACAGCTAACATGATAGATTACAAGTTCTGGTTGGTACAGAAGGAGAAAAATAGCAGTTCTAGTTACCAAAGAATCCATGAGTAGAGACGGTTCCTAATGTATCTACAGATGGTGAGCCTCAGTAATGATAGGGAAACACACTCTAAATTTTTTTTTTGGGGGGGGGGGGGGGGGGGGGGGAATTTTCAACAGCATATACTGGAATTGTTTCTGTAGGGCTTGTAGTATATTTTATGTTAACTGAATTAAAACTTAAATGTGGGATTTTCAGAAGCTTGTAGGAGTTAGGTGCACATAGATAATTGAAAGTCCCAAAGTATTTGTCAAGGTATTCTTGTATTAGGGTGTCTGCTCAAGGTAATTGGAAAAATTCCAGCAGAACAGTGTTTCTTCAGATTTATCAAAATCAAAACGTTCCTTGAAGACAGACTGGTTTCACCAAAATTCTGATAGGAGTGGGGCTCAGGCAGGTTTCAAAACCTGCCTGGTTTCCTGCTAGACCACTTTGCTCTTCAATAGCCTGCCTGGTGGGCTTTTTGGGAACCCAGAGGCTTACATGGTTTGTGGCTCAGGAGCATCCCACCAAGTGGATGCACCGGGGCTAGGGACCCCAGAACTTCCAGGGTCTGTTGCCCTGGGGCAGCCCACCAGCTGAGAGCCAGGGACCCCAGGCTTCCAGAGTGTGCTGTCCCAGAGCTGCATGACAGTCAGACTGCCTCAGGGCCAGGGATCCATTCAATTTTTTGGAGAATTTCTAAATTTTTGGTTCTCATTCCAAAATATCAAAATCTTCCATGAAGCTGAATTATCTTTCTCTGAACAGCTCTAATGTCTGCCTTTCATGGTACCTGCCTGTGCATCAGATTTGGAGTTAACAATTACTCTTGTTTTTTTAAGAGAGGGTGAGTTTTGTAAATCCAGAAAGTCATAAATTTGGGGAGGTAATACATGAATAATCATTTTGTTAAATGCCCTGTTTCCAGTAGAATGCCATAAAAACCGATGCAAATTTATAAATAAAGACAATATTTGTGCATATTTTGTGTATATAAATAGTTTTTAGTAGTTCTTAAAACCAATAATTCTGAGGTGGAATTCTAGCTAGACAAAATATTCAAGTGATTAAATCTGTTTTTTTAAAAAGATTACAGTATACAACAGATCAAGAAAGCCTTAGGAGCTATTCATGGGGTTCTATGTACAGACTTTTTTTTTTTTTCGGTTGAGATATTTTTTCCACAGCTTCTCAGCTGAGGAGGACAGTTAAGCTAACAACACGAGATGTACTTGTGGCACCTTAGAGACTAACAAAT